TTCCGAATACTGCTGCCTCCACCGCCACCCTGCGCCATGTGTCTCTGTCGTCTGCTCACGATGCTGACGGCTTCCGCTTTTTAACCTAGGCCTGTGTATGGCTTCCGAATACTGCTGCCTCCACCGCCACCCTGCGCCATGTGCCTCTGTCGTCTGCTCAGGCTGCTGACGACTTCCGCTTTTTAAACTAGTCCTGTGTATGTCTTCCGAATACTGCTGCCTCCACCGCCACCCTGCGCCATGTGCCACTTTCAGGTCTCCTTACACTGTTGGTGGGTTCCATTTTGTGATAGGGTGCTGTATGGCCTTCCATTGCTGCTGCCTCCACCGCCACCCTGCGCCATGTGCCTCTGTCGTCTGCTCACGCTGCTGACGGCTTCCGCTTTTTAACCTAGGCCTGTGTATGGCTTCCGAATACTGCTGCCTCCACCGCCACCCTGCGCCATGTGTCTCTGTCGTCTGCTCACGCTGCTGACGGCTTCTGCTTTTTAACCTAGGCCTGTGTATGGCTTCCGAATACTGCTGCCTCCACCGCCACCCTGCGCCATGTGTCTCTGTCGTCTGCTCACGCTGCTGACGGCTTCCGCTTTTAACCTAGGCCTGTATATGGCTTCCGAATACTGCTGCCTCCACCGCCACCCTGCGCCATGTGCCTCTGTCGTCTGCTCACGCTGCTGACGGCTTCCGCTTTTTAAACTAGTCCTGTGTATGTCTTCCGAATACTGCTGCCTCCACCGCCACCCTGCGCCATGTGCCACTTTCAGGTCTCCTTACACTGTTGGTGGGTTCCATTTTGTGATAGGGTGCTGTATGGCCTTCCATTGCTGCTGCCTCCACCGCCACCCTGCGCCATGTGCCTCTGTCGTCTGCTCACGCTGCTGACGGCTTCCGCTTTTTAACCGAGGCCTGTGTTTGGCTTCAGAATACTGCTGCAACCACAGCCACCCTGCACCATGTGTCTCTGTCATCTGCTCACGCTGCTGACGGCTTCTGCTTTTTAACCTAGGCCTGTGTATGGCTTCCGAATACTGCTGCCTCCACCGCCACCCTGCGCCCATGTGCCTCTGTCGTCTGCTCACGCTGCTGACGGCTTCCGCTTTTTAAACTAGTCCTGTGTATGTCTTCCGAATATACTGCTGCCTCCACCGCCACCCTGCGCCATGTACCACTTTCAGGTCTCCTTACACTGTTGGTGGGTTCCATTTTGTGATAGGGTGCTGTATGGCCTTCCATTGCTGCTGCCTCCACCTCCACCCTGCGCCATGTGCCTCTGTCGTCTGCTCACGCTGCTGACGGCTTCCGCTTTTTAAAACCGAGGCCTGTGTTTGGCTTCCGAATACTGCTGCATCCACCGCCCCGCCCACTGCTGCTGCCAGGCCCGTAATCTGTCATGGGCCCCTGTACCGCCTCCTCATGCTGCTGCCAGGTCCAGAGTGTGTCATGGGTCCCTGTACGGCCTCCCATTGCTGCTGTCTCCATCGCCACACTCTGCCATGTGCCACTTTCAGGTCTCCTCACACTGCTGTTGGGTTCCATTTTGTCATAGGATGCTGTATGGCCTCCCATTGCTGCTGCCTCCACCGCCACACTGTGGCTCCACACTCTGGTTTTGGCCCCGTGACTGCCCAAATGAGTGAAGTGTGCGGTGATTCTAAGATCGACAGCACTCATCTGCATGTCATACTGACTGACAGTATTATTTCTCTTCCCCAGCAGACTCCAAGGGCATTTAAATTAAAGGTACAGTGTTCTGCACTAATATAAAGGCTCTCTGAAGCCTAGAAACACCCTTTTTATAAGTTAAATTCGCAGCGAATATATTCGCCTCGAATCAAATTTATTCCGCGAATTCGGCGAATCAGCCGAATCGAATTTTTGAATAATTCGCTCATCTCTAATTATATTATGGTAGAGCATAGACATTTGGAGATAGTAAAGGGATCAAAGATAGAAGTTATGTCATTATCAGATCACGCCCCAGTCACGATGAGGCTCCAAATAGGGATGGGTGAAGATAAAACATTATCTTGGAAATTGAATGATTCGCTTTTACCCTGAAGTTGAGAAGTAGATAAAAAGGGAAATTGAACAATTTGAGATAAATGAGACCGAGGGAATGTCCGAGGCATCTGTTTGGGAGTCACATAAAGCTTATATTAGAGGATTACTGATCGCTATAGGTATAGAGAAGAAGAAGGAAAGGGGAAAAAATAAAAACAGGCTATAGAAGAACTACAAAAACTGGAACAAATGCATAAAAAGGAAAAGGGGATGGATAAGAATCAGGATATTTAGTAGAATGGCAAAAGAAAGATACCAATGGAAAAATAAACCAGGAAATTACTTAATGAGAAGACTCAGAAATAAAAAAGTGAAGAACTTTATTGAAAAAATTAGTGATAGAAAGGGAGAGTATCTGTATAAAACATCAGATATAGCTAGGCGGTTTCACAACTATTACAGTGACCTATATAATGTAAGAAGGGGTAAAGATTGGGGAAGAGAGGAGGAGAGAAAAAGAAGACAGGACTACCTAAGTGAGGTGGACCTTACACGAGTGGCAAAGGAAAAATTAGAAAATCTGGAAAGCCCCATTACCCCAAAGGAGATTAATGTTGCCTTAAAAAGTATGAAAGTAGGTAAAAGCCCTGGGCCAGATGGGTATACAGTAAGATACTTGAAAAAAATTTAAAGAGATATTGGTTCTCAAAATTTTGTAAATACATGAATGCGATAGGAGAGGGATTAGAAATGAGGGAAGAATCCCTCAAGGCATACATCACCCTCATTTTGAAGGAGGGGAAGGATAGTTCCCAATGTGCAAGTTACAGACCGATCTCACTGTTAAATGTAGATACTAAACTGTACGCAAAAGTATTGGCAACAAGGTTGAAAGACCTGATGTTCGATTGGGTGCACTTGGACCAGGTGGGGTTTATACCCGGAAGAGAAGGGAGGGACAATGGTTTGAGATCCTTGATTTTGGTTCAAAAAGCTAAAAAAGATAAAACATCTGTGATTTTATTGTCGATCGATGCAGAAAAGGCATTTGACAAGGTCAATTGGGGGTTCATGTTTGATGTATTGGGAAAACTGGGAATGGGACCTAAAATGTTAAATTGGATAAAAGGATTATATAAGAACCCATCAGCGGCGATAAAAGTAAATGGAACCTTCTCTCAGTTTTTTGGGATGGATAACGGAATTAGGCAGGGTTGTCCTTTATCCCCCATGCTGTTTGTGTTGTCATTAGAACCATTGTTGGAGAGGGTAAGGAGAAGTAAGGATATAAGAGGGATAAAAATAGGAGACAGGGAACACAAAGTCGCTGCATACTCAGACGACGACATGCTGTTCTATGTGGCCAACCCTAGGACAACTTAATGAAGGAACTTAAACAATATGGAGGGGTATCAAACTTGAAGATAATTCCGGTTAAATTGAAAATCCTAAACATCAACCTCACAGACATAGAAAAGAAAAGGCTGCAAGGAGCGTTCCCTTTTTCCTGGAGGAAAAATGAAATCAGACACCTTGAAATAAAATGAACGATATCGGTAAAAAGTTTATATCAAACAAACTACATGCCCCTGATAAACAAAATAAAAGACGAGCTGTAAAGACTAGTAAAAGGAAGGGCCTCTTGGATTGGAAGAATTAACCTAGTTAGGATGGTGATACTCCCAAAAATTCTGTAAAAATTTCAATGCTTCCGGTATCATTACCTGGAGCTTTTTTCGTAATAATCAGAAAGATGATTACTAAGTTCATATGGGCAAATAGGAGGCCTAAAGAATGTATTTATACTATGGGAAAATGAGAAAAGCATACGTTGTATAGGAAGATGTTTTAATGTTGTTTGTATAATTATATAATAAAAAGATGAATGAAAAAAAAATAAAACCAAAAATAAATAAAACCTTCAAGTAATATATCAAATAAAAAGGTGCAGAGCTTAAAACAACAAAATCACTTTCAAAATGTCCATAAAAACATAAAGTGCCAGAAAAAGTAGATCAAAATGTAAGGTGACTAGCAGAATCCAACTGATGGTGCTCCAAAGAAATAGCAGAATTACGCACTCACCAGATGCGTAACGTAAATACACATTGTGTAAAATTATATGTAGAGGTCCCCTTAAGGTACTGGAAATGATCCCCTCCAGGAATGGTCCTCCCTCTAGGTATGGTGGAGTAAACAGGAATAATGGATCCAGCTGCCCAGAGATCCCATAAAGGGATGGACGGGTGTTGATGTCAGCTTTAAGGAACTCCCTCTCTGGATACTGGTAGGTGGCTGGATCAGGATGGGCTCTAAAAAAAAATGGCTCCAAAAAGGAGGTCATAAAAAATGCCCATAGTATAGTATGGTAAATGATACTAGGTATATTAAAGTGGTATAAAAGGATTTGCAAATTCCAAGGCTTAAAATCAGCAGGTAAAAGCAGGTAAATCATCAAAATGACATCTGATGTGTAAATGGACTAACCGTCCAGGCATAAAGATGGCCGCCGGGCCTCCACATGGCTCGGCGGCGTGACATCACTTCTAACGCGTTTCATGCGCACGCACTTCTTCAGAGGGCGGATACCAATTATATCTGGTGTCCAAAACAAAGCTAGATCACATTAGCACATCTCCAAAGTCACATAATTTCCAGTGCGACTTTGGAGCAAGGCTTTGATTTGTTTTCACACTCTCTGGACCAAAGTTGCATTAAGAGTCGCACAAAAATGGTGCAGGCACCTTTGAAAAAATTGCTGTGACTTTAAGGCACACCGATCTGAACAAGTGCCGTTACAAAACAATAGGCTGCGACTGTCATGTGACTTGCCATGTCCAAAGTCGCATGACAAGTTCCACAAGAGCGAAAGGGCCCTTACAGCCACATATAGCTGCAAATCACCTGGAACAATAACAGATAATGTTGTACCAGGAAGAGTAGATCAAAGGTGGATAAGTATTTAAAACACTTTTTATTTATCATTAAATATTACGTAATAAACAAACTTTTTAGGATGTTAATACCTGTGATGGCAGTCTCCTATCACCTGATGGATCTTTATGTCTCCTGGAGTTTTCCTAGCCACAGCTTTGAAGTCCTGTTAACAAAAGGTGCTGATTAGTAAACTCCATAAGTATCATAACCTCTGTAATGTTAATGGCAGCAAACTTGATCCCCTTGATCTCCCTCTCTCTCTTCATATATTTGCCAAAAAGTACCCACTGAGGCAGGTATGTTTACTTTTAAGTTTAGTAAATAACATAACAGAAAAGCATGGTTTAAACCAGGGGTCTCCACACTGCGGCCCGCGGGCCGGATGTTGCCCTTTGCTTGCTTTTATCCCACCTGTGGGGCACTTTTTCTGATATGAAGCACTATTCCTTCTATTGACACCAACAATAGAGTGCTATTCTTCCCATTAAGACCAGCGATGGGATGCTATTCCTCCCACTGACACCAACGATGGGATGCTATTCCATCCATTGACACCAACGATGGGGCACTATTCTTCCCACTGACCCCAACGATGCGACGCTATTACTCCCACTGACACGACTGACTGGGCACTACACTGACACCAATGATAGGGCACTGTTCCTCCAACTGACCCCAACGATGGGACACTATTCCTCCCACTGACACCAGCAACAGGGCACTGTTACTCCCACTGACATCAGCGATGGGGAACTGTTCCTCCAACTGACACCAGTGACGAGACACTGTTCCTCCCACTGTCCACCAAGCCTAGGGCATTTTCTACTCCCACTGGCCACAATCAGAGCCCAAATTAAAACAATTCTCAATACTGACATTTCTGACTCCCCTCTGCAAGTCTTGCTCCATGTGCCTTGCATCCCTTTTAGCCACTATAAAAAAAAGTGCTCTTCCACATCTGAATGCAGCATGCCGCTTGATCAAAATGTATTGGAAAAAGCCCCAGCTTCCTACTCGTGATTTGTTGGTTAAACTGGTTAACACTGTAATGGAGGCGGTGCAATGGATGGCTACATGCAAAGACTGCTATAGTAATTTTTACTCCATCTGGGCTACATGGATTCACTACACCTCTAGGTCTTCAGGGTCCTTGGGGATGTTGCAGGCTCCTCCTTCGGGACCTTCCTGATCCTAAGGGGTAGAGGTTTCGGGACCTTCAAATGCCACACGCTCTCAGAGCACCTTTATGTAAGCCCCTGACTACCTGAAGCTATACGCCATCTAAACTTCAACCCTAGTGTGTCCGCGTTTGAGTCGGACCTGCAACCTAGCCCCTGCAATAGATTCCTTACCTGCCAGAGTGGCTGATGGGAGTTTTGTATTTTCCCTTCCCCTTTTATTATTTTCATTATTTTTGTTTGTTGTATTGTCATGCCTACACTTTATTGCACATGGCATTTAGGTACATGGAGATTCTTGTTTTCCACCTACGTATATGGAAGTTAGTGTTAGCCATAATGCATGATGCAATTGTAACTCAAACCCTAATGCATGTTTTTCCTTGTTCTTGCTTCCTTGTTTTCGTACATGAAAACTTTTGTTTGAAAATAAAGATCACATTAAAAAAAAAAAACCTCCGGGGTATGGGCCAGGTAGGTTGAAGGACATGCCATTACACTAATGATGCAATTCTTTAGCACATTTCTTCTTCTCTACGCTGCGTCTGTGCAGCCTCCTCCTTCTCAAGATCTGCAGCTATTCGCTCCCATGTGCCTTTGTGCACAGCCACCGCCTTCCGCTGTCAATAGGGAGAGCAGGTGATGCCGAGAGCAGCACAGTCCGGACCCAACTGAATTGATCCTATGGTAAACTGAGTGGGTTTTCTTCATTAAGCTCACCATCAATGTTTAATGATTTTGAGTGTTCTTCATTGAAAAACAAAGACTATCACAGTGGGAAAAACTACAGATTGGATTACAATAATGAATAGATAGCACATACAAGTATTTTTTATACCAACTGCTATATGGATTTTTAAAATATTTGTCTGGAGGTCTTCTGCTAGATATAGAATGTGTGCCACATAAAACACGTAATACCAGCTATACATAAAATAATTACCCATTAACACTCTTTGACAGAATCTTCCATACATCTCCATTCACAAAGAAATACATTAACATTCCACAGCAATCAGTCAACACTTTCTGACTCGGTACCTCCAATGAATTGGCATAGTCATGAAGCTCAAGGTACAGCAATCCGCGATTAACAAGAACTTTAACATCAGCTTCTTTCCATCCTCCCAGAAGAAGTACAATAGCATAATCTTTCAAAGCCTAGAAACATGCAGGACAGATGAATCAAACATTATTGCTACTTTTTTTTATTATATATCTGAATGTATGAATCAGGAAATAAAAATACAGTATATCTCCTCAAAAAAAGTCAGGAGTGCACCTAAAGCTAAACTCCAGGGAAGCAGCTTAAAGGAGAAGTACAGCCAAAGCTTGGTTGGCTGTTCTCCTGTGGATCCCAGTAGTACAGTTTGTTCTGCACTCCTGTGACCCATTTTCAGCTGACAGCGGGCTAAAGTCCACTCAGCCGGTCCAGGCTGAGGAAAGATTCTGACTGTAAAGTCGGGGTCTACCCATATTTCTGGACCGGCAGCTGGCTCAGCCTCTCAGTGATCCACTGAGAGCCTGAGCCAGTCACTCCCACCCCCTCCACAACCCAGCGCTCCAGTGAGTGTTGGGGGGGGGACAAAGCAGATAGCGGTGACTGACAGTCACAGCGGCAGGGAAAACTGAATGATCAGCTGTGTGTCTGATCACTCAGTTCTCCCCCTTAGAGCTGGTGGGGACAGATGCAGCATTATATTTATGCTGCATCCACCTAGGTAGGTATAATTTTAAAAAAAGTCCCATACTTCTCTTTTAGGGCACAGTTATAATACATATACTGAATGGGAGCTGTTGTACCTGCCATAGGATTTGTAGTTTTTTTGCAGCCAGATTTTAGATGCATAGCCAGCTGCTTGACCTGCACTGCAGCAGCAGTCCAGCGTTGTAAAGAACACCTCCCATGCTGCTGACTGGACAATAAAGGAGCAACAGTGCAATGAAAAGTCAAAACACATTCCACCCATTCCCTCCTGTCATCCTGTTCCCTGTTAGCATGTGCTGTGCAGTAGACTCGGTTGCTCCCTACTACTGATTCTCTCTCATGCTGTCATGCAGGGGATTGAAGAAGACTAATATTAACCAAATTCTAGAACTTATACTAATTGTATTTATACACATAATTATTAGTTTAAAGATAAGAATGGCCAAAGCTTTTTTTGCAGCACAAGCATAGAACTCATAAAGTTGGAAACTTGTGGGCGGGGCCAGTTAGTTGGTACCCAATATGGAAGAATGGCACACAGAGACCAAGTAAATTGGCACAATTATTATTTGGATAGATTAAAGTAACAAGTAACACATGGAGAACAGCAGTAAGGTGCTTGTCTTAACAGTTCCAAACGCTATGGTATCAGAGTCTAAGTAACACTGTAGCAGTGTGGCGCACTTGAAGAAACTAATCCAAAACCTTTATCACAGCACTGGAGTCCAAGACAGTAGTGTCCCTAGTATGTCCCTCCTTGTCTGGAACCTGTCCCTAGGGCTAAATAAGCTGTCCCTATCCAGCACTGATCGTGTCCCTACTCTATCCACCTCACAACTGCATGCCAGCTGCAGCGGGACACCATTATTTATTAACATTAATGTGAAAAAAAATATGTAACTGTGCTGAGTGCCAAAAAAATCCACATTGTGAACCATAAACCTAAACAAACTATGAAACAATAGCCGCACTCACAAATACCAATACAAATACTCAGTAAGTGATATCCAGTTGCTGTTGAGCTATTGATAATAAAATATACTAGTAGTGAGTCACTTATACTTTAAATGTGCTCCTACCAATAATATTATTAAGTCAAAATACATGAATCACCAAACAATGAAAAAGCTGTGTCCACAATAATCCTCCATGTGTGTAGTAAAATAGAGGCTCTCGTGCCCACCACCACAAAAAACACACTGCTTCTTACTGAATAGTTAGACCCCAGATTATAGGTGGTCTAACAGAGCATGATGCTGAACATATCTTGCTTGTAACATCCTAGATGGAAAAGAGGTGTCACAGACTTTGGTATCTCTCCTCCTCTCTTCCTCCCTTATTATGATCAGCTGTGTACTTGGTCAAAAAGGATAATACTCCAGATAGTGTGATATCATACAAATGATTTATTTAAACACTTACAAACTTGAAAGACACATGAGCATGTAAGTCATAAACACCACTGGTGCCAGTTCCAGACAGGCATGGGTGACATCAGCACAATCTCCACCCAGGCATACATTTTGTCTCAATAGATGTTGTCAAGGGGATCACCTGATTGGTTTCCAATTTGCTGCCTCTCAAACTTTGGATTTTTAAATAACACCTGGTCCCCTGGTCATGGCAGCATCTCAAGGGCGTCATCATCAGCTAAATCTTTGAGTTGTTCTAGGACCAGCTTCTTGAACCAAGAAAGAGTGTTAACATTGCCATGATGTCGAGTAAAGGGAGAGTAGGCAGGTGCATATATCATGAAGAGAACTGAAAAAAATAGGCGCTGTGGAAAATGCTCTCAGACAAGCACCTTAATGAAGGTGCATCTTTATAGGGTGCTCCGATCTCAGCTCCGATCTCAGCTCCCTTCAGAGCAGACAGGCTGTCCATTGGAGTCACACTGTCCACTTCAGGCTGGTCAAATTTTATTATATTTGCTACTTTGTCTCACCCAATAAAGATGCACCTTCATTAAGGTGCTTGTCTGAGAGCATTTTCCACAGCGCTTATTTTTTTCAGTTCTCTTCATCATGCAAATGATTAACAAGGCAGCAGTGGTGAGCTCATGATTAACTGTTCACATGTTTGCACCTGGAGTGGCCACTCTGCGCTCAATTGTATGAGATGCATATATCATGCAGTCCATGTAGATTATTGTATAATGGAATATGTTCGAGATCTGGCAGAGGGTAATCCAGTTGACAATAGGGCAAGCTGTGATAGAGTGAAGCACGCTCTAGAGTAGAGGGATAGAGGACACAGCGCCTCTAAGTGTAAACTGTATAACAATTTATTGTTAAAATGTAAGTTAGGCAACTCACATCTTTTAAAAAGTATACAGGCTCATAGGGATGAGGTGTGGAAAAACATCTATTGACAGGTTTTGGTAGATGCTCTGGGAAGCAGATTGTGTAGGACTGATCTGCGGCACTCTTTTTATTCTACTTTGAAGCGGTATGAAAAAAGATACTTGGAGCACTACCTTCCCTTTTGAGGAGAATCTATCTACTATTGAAATATCCAGAAGTATATGACCATCCAACTGGGGGGCAGTTATCCTTGATTTCTTGGATCCTTATCCCCTACTAGGAGACTGGGGAGGTCTGATTTAGGAGATCATGTTGTTGGTAATCCACATCTACAGTATCTACAAAGCCTATCTGACCACCTTAACTGAAGTCTATATTTCTGGTGAGTGAGCCATTCACTTATTGCCTGCACGTGGTGAAAGAGCACATTTTCGGTCTACAGGACTGCATCTTCATGGGACTGTCACTATGTTCACACTATATATTGTTTTTTGTATAGGAACATCATCTGAAAGATGATGTAAAGAGTTCACTGCATCATTCATGTTTTTTAATAATTTATTATATGCAATTGTTATAGAGCCTACCTATTCACGTATTTTAATGTTAAAGTGTGTCTCACTTTTCAGGGGCAGCAGACAACTTTTTTGCCTGGTTTAATGCGGGCAACACATTTTATAGTTTGGCTATTTAGGCGCCACAATATTCTAAATATTTAAATTACTATAGTATCAGTGTCTTTATAACACAGCCAACACAGGTGCGGAAGTTCTCAGCAATGTTAGCGGGACATTGGAGTAGTCCCAGAAATAAGGCTTACATTACCAGAGCAGCATCTGAGTAGTGTAATTTCAGCTCTCCTTTTTTATGACAGCTTAGACAAGATTTATACATTCTAGACTTTGAATGGATGTTAAGAAGAGATCGCTGCAGATAAACAGGTACAATGTAGTAGTAGGATTTGTTTAATCTCTGTGTATCACCTGAGGACTGAGTATACAGTGGAGAAAATAATCTGATCCCCTGCAAATTTAGTAAGTTTGCCCACTTACAAAGAAATTAAGGGTCTACAATTTTTATCATAGGTGTATTTTTAAAAGATAGAGACAGAATATCAACCAAAAATCCAGACAAAACACATAATATAAAGGTTATAAATTGAATTGCAGTTCAGTGAGTAAAATAGGTATTTGATCCCCAAGTAAAACATGACTAAGTACTTGCTTGAGAAACCCTTGTTGGCAAGCAAGACGTAAGACGTTTTGGTCCAGTCTTCATTACAGATCTCTAAATCCTTAAGGTTTCTTGGCTGTCACTTGGCAACTCGAAGTTTCAGCTCCCTCCATAAACTTTCTATAGAACTATGGTCTGGAGACTGGCTGGGCTACTCCATGTCCTTAGTGTGCTCCTTCTTGAGCCACTCCTTTGTTGTCTTGACGGTATGTTTTGGGTCATTGTCATGCTGGAAGACCCATCCACAACCCATCTTCAATGTTCTGGCTGAGGGAAGAAGGTTCTCACCCAAGATTCATTGGACCCTCAATGCAACAAAGTTGGCCTGTACCTTTAGCAGATAAACAGCCCCAAAGCATACTGTAATGTTTCCACCTCTGTTTTTGACTGTAGGGATGGTGTTCTTAGGGTCATAGTCAGCATTTTTCTTCCTCCACATATGGCAAGCTGAGTTACAGCCAAAGAGCTAAATTTTGGTCTCATCTGACCACAGCACTGTTTTCCAATCCTTGTCTGAATCATTTAGATGTTCAATGGCAAAGTTCAGATGTGCCTTCTAGAGGAGGGGGCCTTGCAGGCACTGCAGGATTTCAATCCACGGCAGCGTATTGTGTTACCAATGGTTTGTTTGGTGACTGTGATCCCAACTGCCTTGAGATCATTCAGAAGCTCCTTTTGTGTAGTTTTGGGATGATCCCGCACTTTTCTCATGCTCAACCTTACCCCATGAGGAAAATCTTGCATGGAGCTCCAGACCGTGGGTGATTGATGAGTATTTTCTATTTCTTCCATTTGCAAATAATCGCTCCAACAGTTGTCTCCTTTTCACCAAGCTTCTTGCTGATGATCTTGTAGCCCATTCCATGTGCAGGTTTACAATCTTGTCCCTGACATCCTTTGACAGCTCTTTGGTCTTG